TCGTTGAACCTCTACTCTTCCAGTACCTTCCACATCCATTGAATAGTTTCTAACTCCAGCATAATCTCCATTATCAGCTTCAGTGCTTCCTAAGCTTAATTCACAACCATCCTCATCCATTTCACTACCGTGAAGCTTTGCACTAGTCATTTCTGATTCAGCACACTGAATAACATACATAAAATTAATTTCTATACTTAAAAAAAAAAAAAAAAATGGAGAGAGAATGGCATCAAATAAAAAAAATTACCATCCTTTCAACATTCTGAACAGGTGAAGGTGTCTCTGGTTTTCTGTTTGGTGTTCGAGAAACTTGGGGAGAACCACCTCTTTGTGAAGCTTCCGCCAATGCCAATGCTATCTCATGAGCAACATCATCATCAACAGTATCTACCTTTAATCTAAACCCTTGCCTAATTGGTGAATTGTACCTTTCCCCTCTATCTTTTTCATAAGAATATGATACAGGTATACGAGGTGTCCTTTTTCCAACAGCACGAGGCCTACTTCCTAAAACAAATGCCAAAAACTCTTAATGGAATTAACCTTTGGAAAAAAGTCAATAATATCAGTGAAAAATGAAAGAAACAAAAAAACTCTTCCAAGGGACAGATGGAAAAAGCTTAAAAATGTAAATATTCTATCATGAACATTTGATCGCTAATTTGAGATCAATCGAATAAATTCTGTGGAAACAAGGACAGAGATCTTTTACCAGAGCGTTTCTTTTTCAACAATGAAAGGCAACCATAATTTGCTGCAGCTGAATGAAATTGCAAAAGATCAGTATATGATCCATCTGAACCTCTGGAGGATTGATCTCGAACTGTTCCCCTGCCACGCTTTTGAGGTTTTCGAGATGCTTCTACCCCTTCATTGCTTTCTTGTTCACTATCACTTCCTTCCTGCCAGGTCATAACAATCCATTAACTTTAGTTCTATAAAAGTGATCCCCACAGGTGCACCATTTGAATAAATCCAAGCTCAATTCATGGAATCCAAAATGTCATGCACTGTATTACCATATTAATGCACTATGAATAATATCAACATACAATGTAACAACCAATTTAAAATTAGATTAAGCACTGCCATCAGCATTTTGAATGGTAATTAGCATAAAAAGTTAATTCTCAGATTGGCATCAAGAAAACAACTTGATGAATTTCTCTAAGAAAACCCATTCAGCACCTTCATTACAGAGCTAGACAGACATAATAATTCAACGAGAATAAGGATGCCAACACACATGTGAGTGTGTACACGCACATCAATCATCTGCAAATTGATTTCCTTGTGTAAAAAAGACAAAACAATCACCGAAGCAGTGCAACCTAAAGTTTAAATTAAACACTTACCAGAACAGAGTAGTGATCAGTCATCATTGCTATAAGTCCAACCACCGAAGCAGTGCCTTCAGGAAGAGATAAGTAAGCCTGAAAATACCACGCAAACTTCTACCATGAGTTGAACTTACAAAACCCATGCCAAACAACATTATTTCCTAATTGTGTCACTACATAAACAAGCTAATCACCCTTGGCCACAATAAAAGTAGTTACCCTCATTAGATTTTACTAATAAGAGTAGGTATCCACTTACACACAAGTCTTACACATCACACCTACACAAATCTTGATTATTCATCTCTCCACTTTCAATGGTTGAGATTTATCATGACTTTTTAGATGAAAAGATAATTTTCTTTAATAAATATGATAAAGTGAAAAAATCTCAACCATTGATAGTAGAGAGATGAATGGTCAAGATTTTGTGTACATGTGATGTGTAAGGCCTGTGTGTAAGTGGATCCTTACTATACTAATAATACTAATATGACTTGTATAGCTCTTTCTAGGAAATTATTCGTTTTACCATGAAAGTATATAACTTCAGTCCCTTACAGTCACAAAATTTCTTACTATACATTGCACTTGGGAACCTGGAACCATGCACAGAATAACATATTCTCCAGGGGATATGAAAAAGCTAATGCAAGTAAGTAATACTGTTAAAATGGTAAAAGAGAAATAAAATAAAAGCTTCAGAAAATAGAGAATCAAGATACATAACATAAATCAGGTTACTAAATTGTGCTTACCCTATTCATACTGTAAAGAGCTTCTACCATTTCCACAGTTCGGTTGCGGACTGAGGCAGCTACCTGCAAACTCAAATGAGCAAACAATCATAAGAAGCTAAGACAAGAACTTCCCAACAAAAATGGCTTGTAAGCTCAAGTAGCTAAGTTGCAAGCTCTTATTATTATTATTATTTTTTGCATACTAAGTTGCAAGCTCGTTTAACCTTAATCTAAACTCAAGAAAAGGTGACCTTGGAAGTATAACTGCAACATAATTAAAAATTGGATACTAACCTTCTTCCAATCCTTCCCATTCCTGCGGTATGCTTCATAGAAGCGTTCAAGTTCTTCCTTGCTCCATTGAGGCCCTAACATGTCAGACAGCTTTCTTTTCTGCATATCATAAGCAAGGGTTACACAATTAAAAATTTAGATAAAAGACCTACAAAACAAAGATTTTCAATTAAAAGTTTATTGTTATTATTTCTAGAGAAAATCTGAATATGATAGTTAGGAATGCAATGATAATTTCTTTTAAGTTCACCCAAATATCTGAAACATCATTGAGTAAATACCAATTACCATTGACATATTTAGTATTTACAATACAGACACAAACAGACACTAAGTATCTCACATTCTGATTTTCACAGATGCTGCATGGTTTCAAGGAAGATCAAGTTAGCAGTCAGAAAATTAACTACACATGTCAAAGTTAGGTAAAAGTTTGGGAAATATGAAAAAGCAGGATTTTAAAATGATCCCAATATTCATATCATTGAAATGAATACCTTTCTACTTTTGGCTTATCCTCCTCCTCCTTTTGGATCTGTAATTAATGACATAGGATAGAGATATAGTCGGAAATTAGGATAGTTCCTTGTCCCTGATCTAGTTAACAGCCTAGGACTCATTTAAGACTTCCTCTTGCATCGATAAGTCACAATTAACATATTTACAGCAATAAATAGCAAAATAACTACAACCTATTCTTCCTGTCAAAGTAAGACACCATAAATTTACAATCCATTCTTTGAATTTTGAACTTCACTCACTTTCCATCTTTTCCTGTAGTACCTTTGCACTTTTTCAGAAAGATATTACAACATTCTGATTCACAAATAGACACTGTTATCCACTTATCTACTACATCTAGGATTATGAGGTAGAAAAGGGAAAGTTAAAAATAAAAAATAGAACATGGCCACGCTGACAAGGCTCCTACCTTCTTAAAGGCAAGTGCAATGGTCCAAATAATAAGCACCATACATGCATTCCAATTTCACAACATAATCCCTATTAATATCCACCCAAGGCCCTTAAAAAGAGGTCATCTTCCTTTTTCCTCTGCTATATAAGGCCAAAAGTTCCAGCACTCTACAATTAAAGAATTTTTGAGTTGTATACAATCATTATCTTTTTAATCTCAAGTACACTCCTATTTCAGAAGAGCCCATTGTGTCTTACACCATCTTGTACACTGAAATTAGAGTAACCTTTCTGTTTATCTTCAGACTGTTATTTGGTAAAAGTTTCAAACACTGTTAATTTCACATGCAACTAATGAGGGAAAGCTGCGCTGAAGGCATCTACCAGCCCAACTAAGGATACAAAGATAAAATTGGAAAAAGAGAGAAGAAATTAAATCTAGAATTAGCAACAAACTCTTGACTCCAGAAGATCACAATCTGATTAACATTTGCAGCACACCAATCAAAAAATGCATGCAAAATAATTACACCCACATAACAAGCTCAGTCGATATGTTTCTACAAACACTTGCCAGTTGCAACCTTGCTTTCATTTATTGGAACAAACGCAGAAACAACGGGAAAGCTCATTGTCTCTAACATACGAAGCGTAATATCAGCCTTAAAGAACAAGAACTTACCCGCTGCCCAGTTTTCTTTGTATTTTCTCCATCTTTATTTGAAGCAACCTCCTGAATATAAGAAAATCGCCTATTCACGCCTTTCGATTTTTTTGAGGGAGCCATGATTAACTTCCAATCTATCTGGAAGATACAGAACAAAAAAAAAAAAAAAAAAA